CACTTGTGACAATATGGATGGACCTACATGGCATTATGCTAAGTGAAATAAGAACGTCAGAGAAAGACAAATACCATAGGGTTTCACTTATGTGTGGAATCTAAAGAACAAAATAAATGAATGAACAAAACAGAAACAGAATCATAGGTACAGAGAACCAACTGACTGACGGTTGCCAGGCTGGGAGTGGTGCTGGGTGAAAAGGTGAAGGGATTAAGAGGTGCAGTTACACAAGAGTTACGGTGATATAAGGTAAAGACTAGGGAATATAGCCAGTAACATGGTAATAACTATGTATGGTGCCAGGTGAGTGCTAGACTTATTGGAGGATCACTTTGTAAAGTATATGGTTGTTTATCCACTATGCTGTACACATGAAAATAATACAAAATGATGTTGAAAGTAACAAGTTAATTAAAGAAACCTAAAAAGCATGAATAACTAGCCTCTAGCTTAGCTATTTATTAACTATGCTAATAAATACCATTGTAAAATTGTGAGGCAAAAATAAATCAGTGGAGACGATGCTTGCCTTCTTCACCCTCTGCTACGCAGCAGGAGCCCTGGCTTCATGAGCTTCTCAGGAAGCTCCCTTCAGCTTCTCTCAGCCTCAGTTTTCTGTTGGTAAACTGAGGCAATGATTCTGCATGAGATAGTGAATATGAAAGCGCTATGTCAATGTTAGTTTTTGTAACTCCACCTGGCTTCACATTTCAGGTTACCATTTACTAGCTGCTTGACCTTGGGCATTTGCATTAATCCTGCACCTTACTCTCCACTCCGCTAAGACTGAAGCTGTAGCGAGATCAGCCTCCAACATTGTGGTGAAGATTAAAGAATATAATGAATGTAAAGTCATTACGACAGTGCCTGGCACATAATAGGCTGCCCAGTAAATAGCACTACAGTTAGTATTATTATGATCATCAGCAAACTTACCACAGGGAGACTTCGTAAACAGCAGAGACCCTGGGAACACAAAAACAAGATGCCTATAATGGAGGAGATGGGCTATGTTGTATAAGGCCCTTAAAGGCAGGAGTTTATTGCCCTAAAACGAAGAGGATCAGGGGTTTTGCTGGGTCTGCTGCTGCTGACTCATCTCATGGAATTTGAGAGAAGACCTAGGTGCTTTAGGAGTGATTACTACACATGGACCAAAAAAGAACTATCAAGTGGGCGGAGACAAACGTGAGTTTGCACTCCCCTGGAATGAACTTGAGCAATCACAGTGAAGAAGGGAAAAGGTTAGGAAAACCCCCCACATCCCTTCCTCAACATGGTTTCTGGTAGCCAGACTGAACCACATTATAACAAAATGTGCGGTGCCCTAAGCTATCCTACTCCAAGCCCAGCGTTATCCTTGGAGAAGGCAAGGCTCTGCTGACCTACAGGGCTGGCCCTGTGTCCTCCGGGAAAGAGAAACACCAGCCTGTCCGGGGTCCATTTCCACCCCACCCAAGGGCTTCCCCTTGGACTTCATCATCCCCGTCATCTGTTCCCTCCCTCTGCCTTCTCTCTTCCCGCCCCCACTGCCTCCTCCCTCTGGCTCTTCCTCAGTGTGCACTCTTCTCCCTTCTTCCCACCCACGCGCACCCCAGCCTCTCTCTCCCTTCCTGCCCCATTCTCTCCGGCTCCCGCACCTCCCCAGGGCCTCTCCTCACTCCTCTCTGCTCTGGCCGGGCCGGCTAGAGCTGAGCCGGGCTGTAGAAGGCAGGGATCCCATCCTTGCCGACCGTAGGCCTCCCCCGAGCCCTCCACCGCGCCCTCGGATCCCCGCCCCCGCCCCTGTACACAGCGCCTGTCAAGTAGCCACTGAAATAAAACCTGTGCAGCCTTGGACCGGCAGGTGGGCAGCGCTGTCCAACACAGTCCGTAGGAGCGAGGCCCAGCTCCTTGCTCACGTCGACTCCCGAGCACCCGCCCGGCACAGAACCGTGAACTCGAATCCCAGCAACCCCGCGCTCACCCAGCCCACGGCGCGCCTCGCCGGCCGCCAGCACCGTGGGCTCGAGCCCAGAGCCAAACCGAGGTCGGTTCTTGTAGGAGCTGCGAAGGGGAGCGCGCCCACGTTAGATCGGACCAGCGGGGCAGGCAGCGGGCGGGGCTGAGGTTCTAGAAGCTTGCCCGCCTGTGGGAGCTTCCTCTCTGCCGGCAGCAGGGCTATTTTCGCTTTCCTATTTACCAAGACCTTCTAGGCTTAGCAGCTGCCCCGGCTGCCCGCAGCTATCTTGATCTTTAGAGGCGGGAAGCCAGAAAGGGGTTCACACAATGGGAAACTGCCTCTCCCTCCCCCCCCACCAACTCCCCAAACCTCCATGCCAATCACCTTCTCAGAACTCCAGGTCCGACCCAAAAGCAGAAGAACCACCCCAGAAGCTGAGGTTCTGCCCCAACCGGGCCCGTGGCCGCCGCTCCGGCAGCGGTGGGAGCTTCGGACACGGCGCCCGGAGGGCTGTCTGCTGAGTTTAGCACCGAGAGACGAAGTGGAAAATCCCCGCGCTTCAGACGGGGCACCGCTTCTGGCCAGCAGTTCGCGAGGTTGCAGCCACCGAGAGACGTAGCGAGAAAGGACTGGATGGTTGGCGAGTGGGGAGGCGGGGTCCGAGCACGAGCCCGCCGAGCGGCCCCGAAGTCCCGACGATCTCCCTGCGTCCCACCCAGCCACTGGCTCCCACGCTGGATCCTCAGCCGCCTTCCGCCTTCCGGGACGGAGGCTGACCAATCGGGACCCGCCACCCCCTCCCCGCTCCCCGGATCCGCGGTGGTCGTCGGGGGAGCCGCGCGATCCCGGGCGGGTGTGGGAGGAGCCGGAGGATTCGCACTTTTCCAGGACTGAGGGCGCGGCGGCTGCGCGGAGCCGAAACAGCGCGTCGGGCGTCCGGGGAGGCTGAGCTGACAGCCCGGCGCCCGCGCTCCGGGTGCTTCGTGGGGGGCCGTCGCTGCCTTTCAGCCCCTGCGGGGTGGGCGATGGCGATGGGACGAGCATCTCGGACGGGACCTGGCGTCCGCTTAGGAGCTCTGTCTACAGAGACCTCTCAGAGCCTGTGGCCAGGATCCTGGGGTGCTGTCTGCTCGGAGCCCTTCACCAGTTGTCAGGGGACCAAATGGCCTCACAGCAGGCAGAAAGCAGGTGGGATCTACTGGGACTTGGGGACCCCCACTTCACTGCCCCACATCCCCGCAGGCAAATGAGCCAGCTTGTCCTGGAGGCTGATGCACTTCAGACTCTGGCAGCTGGAGGAGGAGGCCAGCTCTCCTGCGCCTGGTGTCCAGGAGGCGCGTTTAAAACTTCAAGGTCCGGGGAGGCAGGATCCAGAGTCAGGCGCCTCTCATCGGATGATCACAGGCGTGCTCTGAAGGGGCTTGAGAAAGCATCTTGGGGTTTAAGAACCTGCACAGGGGCAGATCCCGCCAAGCATTGGGTGCTACGCTTGAAAAGTTGGTCAAAAGCGGAGAATATAATTGCCAGGTGGTGATGGTAACAACTTTTTTTTTTTTTTTGGTAACTCTCAGACAAATAGGTGTTTACGTGAATGTGGATGGTATAGGTGGCATCAAACGCAAAGCGTTTCCTAACTTGACCTCATGGGAATTAGACCCTGAGAACAAAAATCACTGCTCCATTCCAGGTGCTGGTTAGGGTTTGCAGAGAGCACACCTTAAGAAGGTCAATTGTAAAAAGAGTGGGAAAAAGTTAGAAAAAAAGGAAAAACTCATAGTTTTATCAAGGCCCAGCTATTCCTTAAACCATCCTCAAGTGGTAGAGCTGAATGGTACCAACACACACACCTACAGAGGTGGTGAAAAAATTCTTATACAACGGGACTTGCTATCTGTCCTTGTAGAGTTCACAGGTGGTAAAAAGTAAGGAGGGGCCAGAGGTTGTAGAGAAGGGGCCATGGAGGTTGCCTGGCCTCTCTGGGAACAGCAAGCGTGCCCTGGAAATGAAACGTACTCTAAGAAGTGCTTGCATGTGCCACTGGCGGTAAGCTCCTTGTGGCCATAGTGCGGAGACTGGATGCCCAAGGTGAAGCTGGCAACTAGACCTGACGCCAAATGTGGCCGACCCTCTAATTTCTACACACTTGCTTTTCTGTGACTTAGTTTGCAAGCAGCTGGGGCAGCAGAAGAAAGACAGCGTGCAAATGGCACGCAAACGTATCCTTGGGAGGAATCCGATTTACATCCAGAATTACTCATTTAGCTTTTGGTTTTCTAGACTGAACATGGAAGGGTTGGGCTGGGACAAAGGAAGCCACTCTTTAGGTCTGCCGGAGGAGGGCAGAATTAGAAGCCAGAACCGAAATGATGGGATTTTCTATTGGCACTTATGAGAGAAGCTGATGCCACAGGTGGCATGGGAGGGAAATGATGGAGATTACCAGAGAATTTGGCTGTTGAGAAGAACTATACATCTTTCTCCTTAACTCTAAAGGTCTGTTTTTCCCATTATCTTGTCAGAGAACAAGAATCGCTTCACCAGTCACAGACGGGATGGAGGAGGTACCATCCCAAGCGTTTAGGATGGCAAATACCAAATTCGGTGTATGCAAAGAAGGAAGCTAAGTCTTTAGAGTGAGATGTGAGATTGTTCAAAATAAAAAATGAACCAATGAGGAAAATAATGTTTATTTTAGCTGTAATACATATTCTGCACATCGACACAATGCTCTAAAGGTGTCCTAAACAAGAAGGCACATCCATTATACGTTAAAGAAGCAGCTCTTAGTGCTCTAAATTATTACCTATTTTCCTTCTTTTACAAATCCCCACCCAAGGTTATGTTTATGAATTTGAGAGAGGGGGGTGGGGCGGGGCAGGGATGGAGGAGACACTGATTTGAGAAACATCGATTGGTTCTGTTCCATACGTTCCCCAACCGGGAACTGAACACACAACTTAAGTATGTGGCCTGACCAGGGATCAAACACAGAGTTTTGATGTGCAGGACGGCACTTCAACCCACTAAGGCACCTCACCGAGGCTCATTTTTTTCCCTAGTGTTCCATGGGCTCCACGTGGGCCGCTTGAAGTAACGACTTGTTTGTTATTTTTCTCTTGATTGAGGTTCTCGCATTCTCTCCGGTTAACAGTTTATAAAAGGACTCATTCCTCTGCTCAAGATCACAAAGGATTGAAACCATAGAATAGCCAAATTCAATTAAGGCATACTCCTTACCTCCACGTTTATAAAACTTCCCGAAGGCGTGCAGAGCCACCACTTTGCCCTCTGCGTTAAACACTGGGGACCCAGAGGACCCACTCGTAAAGCAGGTATCGTAACTAAGTGTGTTAGTGCTGTAAGCCTCTGGGGGGAAAGTTCTTGGGGTAAACATAGAGCAAACACCGTAAGTGGCAGCGTGCAGCCCTCCCACCTCCTGTTGATGGTGCTCCGAGTACCTCTTTAAGCGTTCTATTTGAGTAATCACAGCACACTCATCTATTTCCTTCGTCCGGCCTTCTGGGTGACCGATTAAATAAATCAAACCACTGGAAGGCAAAGAGGAAATTTGTCCAACTAGGCCTGGAGGAAATCCATTTCCATTTTCTCTTAGTTTCAAAATGGCATAATCTAGACCTCCATAAGACACTACAAAGCCTGGCTCAAGGGAAAACCATTCCTCATCTAAGGGGTAGAACTCTTTATAAGTGAAGGTCACTTTTGCACATTTGCTTATTATATCTGGCCACAAACTTGTATCTGTGTCTTTTCCCACCATCAAGTGCACAACATGTCGACAGGTGAAAATATAACCATCACTGAAGACAAAGCAAGTAGCATTGCCTTTGTTTCCATTATTGTCCCATCTCAGGAACCCAACTGACTTACTAAGGTGAACACGATGTTCATAGGTTGCAACTGAAGTAGAATCTTTAGTTACTTTTGCAAAGCACTTTTCATATATTCTGAATTGTTGACACAGTGACAGTTTGGTTTTCCTCCGTTCTTTCCAAAAATAATTTCTCATCCAACGTGCGTCTTCACTGAAATTTGGATAGTGCTGCATTATACCACTGTCCAACATTTTGCAGTTTTTAGGCCAGGGGTTAGTTGCCGATCCCTGGATGTGCTGAATCAGAGCACATTCCATACCCAGACGCGGCCTTTGCTGATTGCATGATCTTTGTGTCCTGTACTTTCTGTTGAGACTGTTCCTGTAATAACTTTTAATTCTGGAAATTGTACGGTGTATCTTACCTTGAATATCATGCCTTGGATGTTGAGGTGGTAGAACTTTTTCTCGGTCATGTTGTACATCTTCAGACTCTTCGTCTTTCTCTGGTTCGTGGGCCTGGCTCTGAGATGGCATCACATCGTAGGGACTGATGTCACCAGTGGCATTTTCAGTCCTCTGTTCAATTTTCTTAAGGTTATGTTTCCTGGCTGATGGCTTCACAGAAATGTCCACCTCTAAGACTTTTCCAGCTACTTCCTCCACCGTGGACTGTTTTACATGAATGTTTGTATGAGTTTCTCGGAGTTCCCAGTCAATTTCATCCAGGTCAGATCGAAACCGGCCGTCTTTGCACAGGGCTTCCTTGACAGTCTCACCCTTCAAGGCATAGATACAGAGCGTACTTCCCTTTTCATGAAGGGCCATGTTCTTAACAATCTTCTTTATCGTCCTCCCAACAGCCACAACATGAAAAAGAATGCATTCGATGCTAGGATTTTCATAGGGGCGTAATATCTGGTCATCTACGTTCTGGTTCCCCTTTCTCTGATGAACTGATATTTCAAGGTGAGAACCTTTTGGTAGGCACTTGAGAGGCATTCCTAAATTGATATATCCTTCTATTGCTTTCTGTCCACGGACGAAAATGTCCTTATTATTGAAATGATTCTCCATTCTTTTGCGGAAACTGTCATGAGATTTCAGAGCTGAGAAGACACTCTCATTGAGTTCACCACGTGCTGTAAACACACTACGGTCTGATCTCCTGGAGACTTCTTTGAAAGTAAAGTTGAAGTAACGTTTGTCACTACTTCTCAGATTTGGTTGCCGACTTCCTAGGGATGCTTCACACCCACTGACTTCACGTTTAAGTGCCACAGTGCCACTACACTCGCTTGTGTCAGATGGAGAGTGACCCACATTTGTGCCGGAGCACGTCTGCCTCTCGACAGCATCCTTAAGAAAGAAAAAAATGAAGCTTTCAGTAAGAATCCCCCTTCATAATGATGTTTCGTGTTTCTATCATTGGAAAACTAATAGATGTTCTGGATAAAAGTTAGATAATATGATGGATAATGAATATTGGAGAAAAGTATTAACCATTCGTCCATCACCAGAAATAATCATTCTGCATTTTTCTTTTTACTTCTAAGGTTTGATATGCAGATATAAACCTTAAGGTACTTAAATTATACTATGCTTTCTAAGTGGGTTTTTTTTCCCTTTGCTAAGCAAGCCTCCAGTGCTTTCACATGTCATTAGAGAAACTTTGAGAGCAGAATTCGACAGGCCATATTTTATTTAAGTGTACAATAATTTTTAATCTATTCTTCCATTGCTGGGTATTTAGACTACATCCAATGTTGAACTACTGTAGCTATGACAAACACTTCTATGCTGAAAACATTTCTGTCTGTCCATCTGATTATTTCCTTCAGCCAGATTCCCAGCAGTGGGAATACTGAGACAAAGATTATAAACATATTTCACAACAAAACCACTGCCCAGTTGCTTTCCAGATGAGCCACATCAATTCGCCCCACTGTCAAATAAGATCAACTGTGTGGCTGCCTCTCTCAAGCATTTCTCAAGTAGTATAAATGTTGGCCAACTGATGGATCGAATGTCATCCAATTTGACGGTTTTAAAAATCTGTCTACATTTTGTTCCCTTACTAGTAAAGCTGGATATACTTAATACATCTTCTGGACATTTGAGCCATCCCCTTTCAAAAATTCCCCTAAGTATCTGTTTCATTTCTGTGTGTACAGAGTTTCAATAGGAATGAGGGAGTAGAATTAAATGCACGATAAATCACAAGATTGGCTAGACAGACAAACAGGTAAACATACTCAAATGCAAACAGACATGCATATTCATGGAGAAACAAACAAGCAGTGTTCACTCTGCACTCTAAAACTACTCGTGTCTATCTCGATTTAGTATTGCCAGTGTGCCTATTTTTGAGTAAGAGTGTGCTCGTCAAAAATTGGGCCCTGATTGACTGGGTTCAAAAATCCTTGTCTGAAGCCTGTTACTTTTGTTACTTTCAGAAAGTTGGAATTCACTTTCTTCATTTGTCAAAGGGGGATGGTAATGATATTTATTGCAGAGAGTTGTATTAAGTGTACAGAGACTCCATAGAAAGTGATAGGCATAATTCCAGGTAGACAGGCATCTCAGTAAATATTAGTGCTGTTACTATTTAAGTATGCCTCTGATCCCAATGATATTAAATGTATATTCTGTTGAGCAGCTGCCTTGTCTAACAAGGTATTTTATTTTTGCACAGTTAATTCATACACTATCATTTCCTTTTATACAAGCACTTATGTGGATGATTTCCTCAAGTGTTTGGTACAGCACAAGAAGGGATTAAAACTGCCATTCTTTTCTTTTTAAAGACTTTATCTATTTATTTTTAGAGAGAGGGGAAGGGAGGGAGAAAGAGAGGGAAAGAAACATCAATGTGTGGTTGCCTCTTGCGTGCCCCCTACGGGGGACCTGGCTGGCAACCCAGTCATGTGCCCTGAGGAGGAATCAAACTGTCGACCTCTGGGTTCGCAGGCCGGCACTCAATCCACTAACCACATCAGCCAGGGCTAAAACCGCCATTCTGTAGGAACTATCCCCTCCCAGGACCCTTGGGCAGAACTGCGGTTAGACTGCTATTCCAGACAAGAGCTGTAGTGTGCAGGCATACCTTTACAACTTCAGGTCTTGTAGACTGGTTATTCTCAGTAGCACTGAGTGACGTGTCCTCTTCGCATTTCACAGGATTCATGATGAGTTAGTTCCAAGAGAATCCCACTCACTTCCACTACTGGCTAAGATGAACAAACAGGGATTGGGTCTATCCTCCCACTGGAAGTGACTAGAAGAGACAACACAAGACAGGGCATCAGGCATCACAGAACCATGATGTCTGATCACCAAGAAAGGGAAGTCAACTGAGCTAAGCCCTACGGACGACTAGATTACTTTGTGGAGAGTTTCCAGTCCACGTGTCGTGGCAGGAAGGGGTTGCAAAACAGCGCCTGGCAGCTTCCCTGAGTTGAGAAGACAAGCTGAGAGTTGTGGGAGGGTCGGGTGGCTTGATTAGAAGAGAACTAGGGAGAGGAGAGCAGCGTCTCCCCAGACAGGGAGATGGAGACTTGGAGGCCCGTGTTGGGCGCCCCAAGAATTTCCAGTCAAGTCTCCTTCAGTGCGGGACACAACTGGAAGCCAGGTGTTTTCCAATAGTGTCACCAGAGGGAAAGACAAAACAATTCTAGGCTCATACAGGATTGAGAATAGTTTCGGTGCCTTAAGGTCACACCAGAAGCCTTCATCGTTCATGCACTACCAGGCAGAGTATTCAGAAAGGCGTTGCCTTCACAGCAGGACAAAAACAGCCCTCCACGAGAGGCTGCTCTGGCGTCACCTGACAAACCCGAAGAGTAAGACTTGCAAGGACACAAGTGTTGCTGAGGACAGTAACTGTGCAGAGAAGAAATCCGAGGCATACTCAGAGAACTAGAAGCATCCCCAGCAATACCTCCAAATACGAAAGTAACTAACCTTGCTATCCAATCAAAACTGATCGGGCATGATAAGAAGCAGGAAAACACAGCCCATAAGGCGGAGAGCAATGAGTCAATGAACAGAAACAAGCCCAGAAGTGACTCCTGCGACAGAAGAACATTAAACAGAAGTCACCTTGGAGTTCTGGTCAAATGGAGTGAGAAGGACTGGATTCACCCTCTTGTGGGGGGGGGGGGAGACAAATAGGCAAAATATAGGAACCTGTGGTTGGCAAGGGAGTGGACATCATGCAGTTCGGGACAGTCCCAGATGACACGCACCTTGTGGTGACTGGGGGCAACTGCCCTGAGATGTTCCAGGCCAGGGTGCAAGGAGGAGCGGCCGTAAGGCAGAGCGTCTTGGAATTCCTGTTCAGAGGAGAAAGAGCTGAGATGTCAAAGAGAGAGGAGAGAGAACTCTGGGTCACAGGCAGGGAGCCCTGGTCAAGTATTCAGCTAAGGGACAGGCAGCAATGGTGGAAACTACCTAAGGGCAGAAAAGAATCCTCCACTCCTCAACAGCAAAAAAACGGTCAGGGGACATCTAACCCCACACTGTGTCCCTCCTCCCCAGGGAGGCCTCTCAGCCTTCTCATTTGTAAATGCAGGAGCTTGGCTCAGACTACACTGCGATTGACTCTGTGAATTACCTTCCTGCTGTGGACTTGTGACAAAGGAAATTACAGGCTCTCACCCTCCAAGATCACCATCCAGTAAGTCTAGAGAGCAGTCCTGGAGTTTGTACTTTTAACATACACCTCCACCCCACCCCCACCCCGCAGCAACTCACAAAGTATCGATTGAAACAGCAGCCCTGTCTCCAAGCGACATCGCAGGTGTGGGGAGCTCCCTGCAAGGGGAAGCTTCCTCTCCCTCCCTCGCCCACACCCCGATGCCAAGCAGCCCCTAAGAACTCCAGGTCCCACTCAAACGCAGAAGAACGACTCACCGAAGCCGAGAATCTGCTCTCAATCGCGCCCGTGGCCGCCGCGCTGGGAGGGGCAGGAGCTTCGAGGATGGCGCTCAGCGGGGCTGTCTCGTGAATTTATAGCCCAGCAAAGTGGAAAGTCCCGCGCTCTAGACGGCGCGCCGTTTCTGGCCAGTGATCGGCGAGGTTTGCGGCCGCCAAGTGGCTCGGCGGCAAAGGATTGGCCGGCCGGCGAGTGGGGTGGCGGGGTCCGAGGACGAGCCCGCCCAGCCGCCCTGGCGGTCAGGGCATTGCCGCTTGATCCCACCCACCGACTCTCTCGGGCCCTGGGTCCCCAGCCGGTTCCCGCCTTCCGGGGTCGCGACCCGCCATCCCTTCCCGCGCCTCCCGGGCCGGGGCCGCCGCCCGCCGAGTTGGGCGAGCGCGGGGCGGGTGTGGGAGGAGCCGGATGACCCGTGATTTTCCCGGGCTGTGACTGCGCGGGGCGGCGCGGGCCCAACCGGAGGAGATGCCCGGCCAACGGCCGGTCCCCGCCGCCCCCGGGTGCTTCGTGCGCGGCGCTCGCTGCCCTCCAGCTGCTCCGGGGTGGGCGACGGCTGTGGGGCGAGCATCCCGCGCTCGACGTGGTGACCGCTGCGGAAAACCGCCCGCGCTCCACGGAGGCAGCTGCCCGGATCCCATGTGCTTCCGTCCGTTCTCTGCGCTCCATCTGCTTCCAAGGGACCAAATGGCCCCACAGCGGGCAGCGAGCAGCCCTCTCCTGCGGTGGAAACTACTGGGACTTGGTGTCAGCCGCCTCACCTGCCCATTTCCCCGCAGGCAAGTGAGCCAGCTTGTGCGGGGGGCTGGTGCCCATCAGACTCCGGGCGCAGGAGGAGGAGGCCAGCACCCGTGCGCCAGGTGTCCAGCAGGCGCGTTTAGAACTTGAAGGTCCGGAGGCAGGACTCCAGAGTCCGGCGTCTCCCAACGGATGATCACAGGCGTGCCCTGAAGGGGCTCGAGAAAGCATCTTGGGGTTTAAGAACCTGGACAGGGACAGATCCCTTCAAGCATTGGGTGCTGTGCTTGAAAAGTTGATCAATATAGTTGCCAGGGGGTGATGGTGACTACTGTTTTTGTAACTCCCGGAAAAATAGATGTTTACGTGAAAGTTGATGGCGTAAGTGGAATAAACGGGAACGCTTTTCCTAACTTGACCTATTGTAAATGATACACTGAGAACTACAGTCCGCGCTCCATTCCTGGTGCTGGGTGGGGTTTGCGGAGAGCACACCTTAAGAGCTTAATTGTAAAAATAGTATGAAAAAAGTTAGAAATAATGGGAAAAGTTATAGTTTTCAAAGTGTTTATCCCTTAAATCATCCTCAAGTGGTCATAGAATGGATTATTCACTCAGACGGAGGTCAGAAGAAATCGTTGTACAAGGGGTTTGCTGATTGTCTTTCCTTGTAGAATCCATAGATGTTACAAATATCGGTTTTATTTTATACTTTGACAACTGTTATTGGCAGTTGCATGGACAGTAAGCCATGGGGGAAGAAGGGTGGGTGCAGAGGAAGGTTGAGGGGGTGCGGGGGGGGGGCGCATTTCAAAGAGGTGGAACTGTGGGAAGTGGTAAACGCACTCTGTGTTTATTCCGAAGGGCAAGCCCACCTGGTTTGTTTATGGGTGTGGTGGTCCAGAAATGAGAGGGAGGGAGACCTCGTTGATGACTCCTGTGCTTTGACTTGGGCAATGAAAAGATAAAGTCTATATTAGCTCCTGTGGGGAAACCTGAGGGAGGGGCTGCTGTGTTTTACATGATGGTGCGTGTGTGCTCATGTGAGTGTGTGTATCAGTAATTGTCCTTTTGATACGTTGACTTTCCAGGGGTTCACGAAGAGGTCTCTACCCGAAGGCACTGGCTTGTCCCTGACTCATTCCCGCCTCTCCCGACCACGTGAATGGTCTTTACCAGTTTATAGGATTGACAATTGTAAAATTGCCCTCCCCCACCTGCCTCTTGGCCAAAAGTATTCCTGCTGCATTATAATAAAATGCAGATGACTTACTGTATACATCCAGCAAAGTCCCTAGTTCCAAGGGGATGTGCAGTGGCTGCCTTTCAGGGTAAACACTGTGTTCCCGGGGCGGGGGGTGGTGTGTTGAACAATTCCAACTGCACCGCATAAGCATCAGCTGAAGGTGAAGTTTCCTTGGTGGCTCCACCGACTCCTCGAACCCTCCCTATTCTGTCACCACTGCCAAGTTGTCGTGGGTTTGCGTCAGAGCTCTCAAGGCACAGCCACAACAGCTGCTCTACTCTGTCCCTATAGGTCCTGACCCAGCCGGCTCGAGGCGACTGGTTCCTTTATTGCCGGTCCGCTTTACACTTAAGGCCGAAATGGGAGATGCCACCTCAAATGGCATCTTGCTAACTAGTCCAAGCGACATTGACTGGTAATGAAGAGGGAGGAGGAGCTTTCGACATTAGCTAGGTTCAAGGAGCTAGGAAACTCTGGGATTAGCAGAAAGGATGTGCTCTTTGGAAGGTCATTACAAACAGACAAAAGTGGTCTAGTAGGCACTAAAAATATACACATCACCTAAGAGACAGGGGATCTGCAAGGCAAGGCAGTCATTTTTATGCTCTGCTGAGATAATATCTTTCTGTGAACTGATTTTCTTTTAATTTTCACTTTACTTCAAATATACTTCTCAGTTAATGGCTAGCATCACTATCATCATGAGCCTAAGCTCCTCTCTCTGGCTTTCTTTTGGTCTGTACGCTTCCCTCCCACGTTCAGTCCCTGTCTCTTCTTGACTCTTCCTGGGCTTCCACCATTAAGTGCAGCCCTCTGCTTCATTCCTTATTTTCCAGTTGGAGTGGGTTAGCATCTTTTGTTCGACGTGTCAAAAGTAGAATTATTGATACACACCCATGGTTTGTTCAGAAGGGTTACCCCACTTTGTCTTAGAAGCTGCCCCCTATTTGAGAGAGGACTGGAGTGGGGTCTCTAAACCTCCAGCAACCAGCTTTGGGGCAGCCCGGAAGCCTCAACAGGCAAACCTTCCCATACAGACCCCTGGCTCACCTGTTCTAAGAAAACAAAGCACGCACGGGAGGGTAACCCCTACCTTACCTGGACTCCAGAGGCTTCAAGAAGGAGGCCTCCAGCAGCCAGGAGTTGTGTTTCTCTGGTAAGAGAAATATCCACCAGACCCCCACTGGATGTTGCCTGGGGCCAAGACACTGGGGAGAAGGGAGGTTTTCCCTCTGTGCTCATATAGTGGGACCGAGAAACTCCAAGGCAGCGTGTAGACATTCCCACCTCTAAGGATCACTCAGGAGTCAGCTAGGAAGGACTCAGGACAAACCAAGAGGCCCGGAGTTTGGGTTCTCTCCCAGAATCCCCTCTCCTGTTGACTCCTTTGTCCAAAATGCCTTATTTTATCAAGAACTTCCTAGAGGGAAACCTGCCCTATGGGATTTCAGGAGCCTGAAGGCATTTCATGTTCTGGGTCCTGGAGTTGGATAGACACACTTGAGTTCAGCTCCTATTCCCACTGGGGTGATGTCTGGTAGTTAACTCATTTTGGTCTCATTTGACCTTCACAGTCAGCCCGTGAGTTAGGTGTGACATTTGTCCCCATTTTTCAGATTAAGAAACAAGATAGTTTGCTCAGGGCGATGGGACTATTTGGAGTAGAAGGCAGGGGTGTCCGGGAGGAGTGTAATCTTAGAGACTCTCAGTTTATTTGGATCCTGCAGGAACACCTTGGGTAAGTTGTCTCCCATCTTGGGGGTCTCCATTCCCTATTTGTAAACTAAAGAAGCCCATCCCTTTGTGATTCCCTGTTCATTTTTGTTCAGACTTATTACTTGGGTAGTATTTTTTTTTTTAAAGACTGGGAATTACTCCCTATATATTTAAGTTCAATAAGTCTGGAGTGAGACCCAGTAATCTGCACCTTTTAACAAGCAGGGGCATCAAAATACCTGCCTGAGAAACAGACCAGTGCTTCTCAGAGCTCCTGATGCTGCAGAGTCCTTTGGCCAGCTTGTTGCAATGCAGTCCTGGGCTCCTTCTGCAGGCATCTGATTCAGCAGGGCCAGAATGTGGCCCAGAGCTGGCATTTCTCAAGAGGCGAGGCGAGTGCTGCTGGTGACCCACCATCTTGAATACCAATTCTTAATTTCATCGGACAAAAACTAAGTATGTTACAAATATTTACTCATTTTATCCTCATAACAACTATAGGAGGCAGCTACCGTTATCCTCATTTCAAAGGAAACTGTGGCCATAGAGACAGCAAGCGATTGGCCTCAACACACAGAGCTATTAGCAGAACCAAGATCAAACCCAGTCAGGCACGGTGACCTTAACTCCAAGGCACTGCTTTCTCCTCTATTGTTACAATTAGTCTGCAAGACCCCAGCCCACTTCTTGCCCTGCTCCCTTCCAGTACCGCTCCCCGCTGCGCCCACCCATCCCTCTGTGAGCGTACCTCAGCGCCTCAGCTCTCGCATTTGCAGCTTCAAGGACCATTGCGAACAGAGCCTCTAATAATCACGCCCAGCCCTTGGTCAGTGGTACTCGCTGTGGCCAAAAGCTTCAGGACGGTTGGAGTTCTGGACTCGGCCAGCAGATGGCACTAGAGGATAAGCCTGATAGAACTGGGAGAGCCGAGGAGGCGGGGAAAAGCGGCGTGAGGATTGACACATGGTGGCCAATGGCAGCACCGTGTTGGTTTGCCCACTTGTCGATTATCTGATGCCCTAGAGCTTCCCACCCATTTTGGGGGACTGCACTTGTGGGCTTGGCCTGGAAAGGTGGGGGTGGGAGATGCTGTGTTTTGTGCTCCCTGAATGTGCACATATCAGTCCAACGTTGCTATATAGCTCATGGGTTGGTTGGTTGGT